GCATATTGGTTTATAACTCAAATAGGATATTTATTCCCACTACTCCACTGAAATCACTCTTGTCAAAATCAACAATCACCTCCATCTTGCCTCATTAAGTAGTTGTCAGGTCTCATCTTCCTGCACTCTTAACGTTTGATGTATGGTTACTCTCTACTTTCCGAAACACTTTATTTGACTTTCAGGACACCATACCCCCCTGGTTTTCTTCCTACTTTACCTCTCAGTCTCCTGAGTTCTATAGTTCCTCTTATTCTTCCTCACTTTTAAATATAATGCCCCAGGCCTCAATTTCTCTCTCTCTTTATACTCTTTTGATGATCTCATTTAGTGTCATGGTTTTAAACAACAAGCAGATGATGACTCTCAACTTTATACCTTCAGCCCTATCTCTTTTCCGAACTCCAGACTCCATATCCAAAAGCCTACTATTTGACCTCTCCACCTGAGTATCTATAGGCCCCTTTAACTTAGCACATCCAAAACAGACTCTTGACACCCTGCCCACTGCTCCAATTTTTCCCATCTCAGTGTATGCCAACAGCATTTACCCCAGGTCAAGTTATTGGAACCATCCTTTCTTTCTTCGTTTGATACCTCACACCTAAACCATCAGCAGATTCTGTCATTTCTATCATCATTAAATTTTCCCAAATCTTACCACTTCTCAGTATCTCTACTGTTACCGCTCTAGTTCAAGTCACCATCCGTCTCTTGGTCTATTGCAATAGTCTCCTGACTGGTAGTCACTTCCCCTCTTGTTTGCTTGCAGTCAATTCTCTCTATACAGTAGCCAGTATGATCTTTCTGAAGCATAAAGCAGATGATGTTACCCCTCCCCAAATGCTCTAATGGCTTTCCTTTACACTCAGAACAAAATCCATGAACTATAAAGCCGTGACAATTTCTGGCCTCAGCCTGTCTCTCCAACGACATTTCCCACTACATTCACCTGTCTCACTCAGCTCCAAGAACACCAGCTTTTTTTCAGTAACTTTTCTCAAGGTACACTTGCTATTTCTCACACATCAGGTTTATTCCAGCTCTTTTTCATTTGCACCTTCACTTACTGTCTTTGCTCAAATATTTCCTCAGAAAAGCATTCCCTAACTACTCCTTCTAAAATGTAGCCCTGAGGGATGTGTGGGTGGCTCAGTTGGTTAAGCATCTGCCTTCAGCCCAGGTCATGATCCCAGGGTCCTGGAATCGAGTCCTGCATTGGGCTCCTTGCTCAGCAGGGAGCCTGCTTCTCCCTCTGCCTGCCGCTCCCCCTGCTTGTGGGTGCTCTCTCTCTCACTCTGACAAATAAAGAAGTAAAATATTTAAAATAAATAAATAAATAAAATGTAGCCCCAATTCCCAACATTCCATATCCCCTTACTCTGCTTTATTTTTCTTTATAGTACTTCTATTTTATCATATTATTTATTTGTTTATTGTATGTTTCCTACGTAGGCTTTGAAAAGACTTTTTCTATCTTGTTTGCCTCCATAAGCCTAATGCCTAGAATAGTATCTGGCACAGCCTAGGAAGCTCAGAACTGCAGTTTATTACAAAAGAAACTGGCATACATTCTAGAAGGAATGTCTAACAAGTTAGTAGTCTACAATATGCAGGGAGAAGGTAGGGTGGCCAACCATCTCACCATGTCAAATACTAATGGGTTTCCTAGGCCACAGGACTTTTTTTTTTTTTTTAAACCAGAATAGTCCCTGGCAAACTGGACTGTTGGTTACCCTAGAAAAAGGCTGTATTTTTTTAAAGGGGATGGACTCTACTTGAGTCCAATCAAATGGACTCAGACTTGGATAATAACAAACATAGCCACCTCTACTTACTGAGTATTTACTACATATACAGACACTGTGCAAGTACTTTAAATACATTTTCTCACTTAATTTTTAAGGTAACCTACGAGATACGCATTTTATCTCCATAATACAGAATAGGAAACTCCTGATACTGACAGAGTTAAGAAACTTGCCTGCAGGTAAACAGTTTGAATGAAAGGGCTATAGAGCCAGTAAAAATAAACAACTTGGTAAGGACTGGAATGAACATTTGGAGCAGACGTTGCATAGTTCTGAAGGAAAGAATTTGTCCTCATATTTATTTAGCTTGAGATTTTTGATCAGTTTTATTCTTTAAGGGAAGGTTAGCAGGACTCAGTCAAAAAGAGGTCTGGGATTTCTACAAAGTTTGGGACAGTTGATCTTGGTCTATGAAGCTGGGAAGAGTAAGCTATCCAGATTCTGAATAGGACCTCACTGACTGAGTTCATACTGTTAGTAATTAGAACTCAGTTCAACTTTCGTTACCAGAACTTAGGTTCAAATTCAGTTTGTCTAAAATTTTTTACCTACTTTTTAAAAAATTTTATTTTGTTAATTACCATACATTACATCATTAGTTTTTGATGTAGTGTTCCATGATGCATTGTTTGCGTATAACACCCAGTGCTCCATTCAGTACGTGCCCTCTTTAATACCCATCACCAGGCTAACCCATCCCCCCACCCCTCTGGAAGCCTCAGTTTGTTTCTCAGAGTCCATAGTCCCTTGTGGTTCGTCTCCTCGGAAACAAATAATACATTATATGTTAAAAAAAAAGAAGATAGTAGGAAGGGAAAAATGAAGAGGGGGAGATTTACCTACTTTTTTAAGGCAGTGAAATAATTACAAAGCAAGATATAGTAAGATATTGATTATATAAGGTCCTGGATGTTCTGGTCTGAATTTCATCCCTCATGCTACCTCACTCACAGGAATAATGTAGGGTTAGGGATAGTATAAATGTTAGAGTAGGCTTTGAAGTAAAACAATCCTAGATTTGTGCCCTGGCTTCATAATTAACCATCTGAGCAAGCCATTTTACCACTTTGACCATTTTCCTCTTCAGTACAAAGAAGGTACTACCCACCTCACAGGGTGGTAATTAAGTGAGGTAGTATATGTTAAGGTGCTTAGCACAGAGCTAAGTGCTCAATAAATGATAGCTATTAATATTAATAATAGCTTCACCAGAATTTATTTTTTTTTTTTTTGGATACTAAAAGAATACTGCATCCATCAATAAGAGGTAACAGTGGAGTTTGGATTTAATTCTAAAGATACTGGGGAGGCATTAAAGGATTTTAAGCAGTGAAGTGGCAATAAATGAAAGGAAACAGTAAAGAAGCCCATGAAAGAGTTTAAGGAGGAGTGAGCAGAGAGAGAAGGGAAAAAACAGGACACGTATTATCTTAAGGCCAGGAGAGAAGTGGGGACAACCTTGTTAAGTGATACAAGAGAAAAATAAGACCTACAAAATGTCCACTGAATGGCTGATACAGAGAACGTCTAAGGCCCATTAGAGCACAGCCATTTTAAATGATGCCATCTGTCTGCTTGCAATAAAGCAACATTTCTTAGTTTCTCCACTGCATGCAAAGACACAACCAACCTTTCCTTTGAGTCCTGAGCAAAAATTTGCAACAGCTTCCCTTTGCCTGTGGAATTCAAACTACAGGTTCCTTAGCCTGTTGTTCTAAGCTCTTCACAACATAGCCCCAAACCAACTTTCTATCCTCTTTGTCCCCTACTACCCTAAAGACATCCAATTTTCCTTTCAACTAAATGTCTTGCTGTCCTCCAAATACAAACACAGTAGGCATTTTCTCAAATTCATGCTTTTATTTGTATCCTAGTTATAGCACTTAATGAATTTGCTTCATATTATAATTATTTGTATACCTGCAATTACAAAATCTCAGAATCATAAGAAAACTTAAGAAAATATTTCTCTTACAAAAATCTTGTCAGTTTTTTCACTAGTCTGTGGCAAAATGAGAAAAAAAGAATATTTTGGTGTATCCTTCATAAATATACAAATTTATTTGGCTCAAAGGACTATCCTTTAATTAGAGACTATTAGAGACTCTTAAGTTTTGTTTTGGTGTTGAAACATCCTTTCTTTTACAATATGATGGTGATATAAAGAGTATTTTTTTTTAATGTTCATACTTGCTAATTTAAAAATTGGTAACTTTGGGGTGCCTGTGTGGCTCAGTCAGTTAAGCATCCGACTTGATTTCGGTCATGATCTCAGGGTCATGGGATCGAATCCCACATTGGGCACCGTGCTCAGTGTCAAGTCTTGCTTGAGATTCTCTCTCCCTCTCCCTCCGCCCCTGCCCCTATCCCTGCTCACTCGCTCTCTCTCTCTCTAAAAATCAATCTATAAAATCTTTAAAATACCTATAAAATATTGGTAACTTTATGTAAATTTGCAAAATTTTTTTAATTCTCAAAGTTCATGAAATAAAAAAGCGAGAGAACCATTAATCTCTTCTAACCCTTACCTGGCCCACAAATTCCCTCTGCAACATCTCTAACAAGTTATGCAAACCTCTGATTGAACACTTCCAGAGCCAGTGGAAGTGTTAGGAGCCACCTCCTCCTAAGATAGCATATTTCATTTTTTCACAGCTTTACCTATGAGAAAGTCTTACCTCAGCTCCACTTCTAGGTCAAAATCTGTTTGAGAGCTGCACTTTTTATTGCTTACTTTCGAATTCCCTACTTTATGCCTTTTCCATGGTAGTCACTCAAAAATATTTCTTAATTGACATTCTCTAAAGGCATCTAAGTTTGACAAAAATTATAACCTATGATCCTGTAATGCAAAAACATTTAGCGATGGGGCCTTGGAAAGGACAATAACACCCTTTCCCTGCAGGAGGCGTATTTACAAAGTAAGAGGATTAAAGGTTTGGGATGGAATTTATATTGTTTTCCTTAGGTATTAAGTCTATTCATCAATATAGCACTAAAGCCTTCCAGACTATCCTTTGAAAATTGCCTAAAAGCCCTGGGGAAATTATTATATTATTTTGTTCTAATTTTGTTTTATAGCTTTTCATATATAATCACTTTAGGAGAAAAACAATCTAGGAGATAAAAAGTTGATAATGTGATTTGATTATATTCATTTGTAATTTTGTGTTATTTCTTTTTCTAAAGCTGGGGCCTCAGCTTTGGTGACCAAGGATATATTCGGATGGCAAGAAACAGTGGAAATCACTGTGGGATTGCTAGTTATCCCTCTTACCCAGAAATCTAGAGGATCTCTTCATTTTATAACAGTCCAAAAAAATGAAACACTTTCTCTTAACTTAATTTTACCTGCTATAACCTGTAGAAATAAGAATGTTGTGGCCAATGTATATTTACTGTACTAATAGAATATAGTTTGACTCTTCTATTTTTTTTAGTTTTGCAGATATTGGAAAAATTTTGCTACATAAATTAATAATGCACTATAGATATACCTGTATGAGAATTGGTCAACCGAAGAAATCTGTCATGCTTGTTTTGTCACTCTTATTTTACATGCTTTGTCTTTTTAAGTTCCCTGATATCCTTTTGTAATATGATGGCATATAAATGCTTAATAAATATCTCTTTTCAACTTTGTATCATTACCACATACCATTCTTTTCTTATCCTTAGGTAACTATTATAATCTATCATGAGGATGTAAATTATAGTATGCTGGTGAAGGGCTTTGGCAAATTTAATGGGGGAAACTACTAGGTTATTAATGTCTGGAGGGCTCAGATTATATCTTTGCACATTAAAGGATTAGAAAATTTTTTTTAAAGTAGGCAAATACTTAAGATGCAATCTGTTTTCAAGCACTTTGGAAGAATCATTTTAATGATCAACAATTAATATACTAATTCAGGGGCGCCTGGGTGGCTCAGTCGTTAAGCGTCTGCCTTCGGCTCAGGTCATGATCCCAGGGTTCTGGGATCGAGCCCCACATCGGGCTCCCTGCTCGGCGGGAAGCCTGCTTCTCCCTCTCCCACTCCCCCTGCTTGTGTTCCCTCTCTCGCTATGTCTCTGTCAAATAAATAAATAAAATCTTTAAAAAAAATATATACTAATTCAAATTATTTTTACCTGGTCATTAGCAATTTGGCCAGAACTTTTTGGGGGCAAATAATTAAGTCAACCTGAATAAAATAACCAAACTGCATCTCTTTTAAAATATTCCATTACTGGGGTACCTGGGTGGCTCAGTCAATAAACGCTGGGTGTGGAGCCTACTTAAAAAAAAAAAAATTCCATTACTGATATTTTTATCTAATTCAGATTGAACTTTGTCCCAACTGCTCTAGAAGAGTAGACAGATTCTGAAGATGCAGCAAGAACTTTAAATTTGGGAGCACCTAGGTGGCTCAGTCAGTTAAACCACCCACTCTTGATTTCAGCTCAGGTCATGATCTCAGGGTTGTGAGATGGAGCCCCACAACAGGCCCTATGTTGGGCATGGAGCCTGCTTAAGATTCTCTCTCTTTCCCTCTCCCTCTGCCCCTCCCCCTCTAAAAAAATAAATACATAATTTTTTTTTTTTAAAGATTTTATTTATTTATTTGAGAGAGAGAGAGCACATGAGAAGGGGGAGGGTCAGAGGGAGAGGCAGACTCCCCGCTGAGCAGGGAGCCCAATGCGGGACTCGATCCTGGGATTCCAGGATCGTGACCTGAGCCGAAGGCAGTCGCTTAACCAACTGAGCCACCCAGGCGCCCTAAATACATAAATTTTAATCAGTTCATGACGACGACATGAAAAATGTGTGGGATGATGTAATTAGTTGATCTTAAAATGAACTTAAACTAATTTGATTATCTTTGGTTCCCTCTCCATAAAGAGCATTTTATTTTTTTAAAGATATTTATTTATCCATTTGAGAGAGAGGGCAAGTGTGCAAGCTGGGGGAGGGGAGGAGGGGAAGGGAAAGGAAGAGGGAAGGAATCCCAAACAGACTCGGCACTGAGTATGGAGCCTGACGTGGAGCTCAATCTCACAACCCTGAGAACATGACCTGAGCCGAAACCAAGAGTCAGATGCTCAACCAACTGAGCCACCCAGGTGACCCCATAGAGAACATTTTAAAGAAGAAGAATTGCTAACTGTAAAAACATGAACATAATATATGACTACTATCAAAAGTGTAGAGAAACATTGTAATTAAAAAGTATTTAGTCAAGGGGTGCCTGGCTGCATGGGATTTTGATCTCCGGGTTGTGAGCTCAAATCCCATGTTGGCCGTAGGGCTTACTTAAAAAAAAAGAAGAAAAATGAAAGTATTTATTAAAAAAATATTTAATTGATTATTCTTTAGTTTTTATTTTGCCCACAATTTTTTAAGCACTGTAAATGGAACAAAAACATAGGTGGGTTTTAACTTTTGTAAGTCTGATGAAGCCTATAAACACTTGCTTAAAATAATGTTTTTAAATACATAAAATAAAATATATAGGAATACAAAGGAAACCAACTTTATTGAAATGCAGTTATTAAAATGTTAAAATATAGGGGCACCTGGGTGGCTCAGTTGGTTAGGTGTCTGCCTTCAGCTCAGGTTATGATTCCAGCGTCCTAGGATCAAGCACTGAGTCTGGCTCCCTGCTGAGCAGGGAGCCTGCTTCTCCCTCTCCCTCTGCCTGCCACTCCCCTTACTTGTGCTCTCTCTCCCTCTCTCTGTGTCAAATAAATAAACAAAGTCTTAAAAAAAATGTTAAAATATATATCTGTGCCACAGTAATACATATGCTTCTTCATAACAAGAATTAATAACTATCTTAAATTTGAAGTAGTGATGAGTATAAATGATATTTGACAGGTATCTGCAGAAACTATAATGTTATATATAAAAAATATCTGACTTTTCTTTTGGTGATAAAGTTACAAGTATTGCTAATATTATTGTTTTATGGACTATATTCAGAATTGAAGGAAATGATAACTTTTAGTTAGAGGTTAGTGAAAATAAAGATGTAATTTTTTTCCCACACAAATTCTCTGAATTCTATCCATGGACCCTGGATGCCAGGTGAAGAACCCTTGAACTAAATAAACAGAGTAATGAAATATTTAACAAAGATCTTTATTCTGTGTGCAACATAAAGGGAAATTTTTAGCAATAAGTAATTTCAAACCTTCAGAAATAAATAGCTTTTTTAAAAAATTAAGTTTAAAGCAAAAAGGAAAAGAATAAACTTATTCTGGAACCTATATATAGGGATGATTTGAAGAAAATAAAAAGGATACTAGCTAGAAAGTACTACAGTAAGTACATATGTGAGGTGATATAAAACCTTGGACAACTTTAGCAGCTGTGAAAAAAGAAAAAGAAAACAAACAAACAAGGAGCAAATTTGGAAGTCATTATAGAGTAAAAGTTGACAAATCTTTTAACTGGACAATAAAGGTAAAGAAACAAGGATTTAAACATTGCAGAACTAGGAGTCCACTGGACAATGCCACTATGAACATATAAGAAAAATATGAAGACAGAGATGTATTTCCTCAAATAAAATTATTCTTTTCTTATTGTTCTAGATGAGAATCTTTTTTTTTTTTAAATTTTATTTATTTATTTGACAGAGAGAGACACAGCGAGTGAGGGAACACAAGCAGGGGGAGTGGGAGAGGGAGAAGCAGGCTTCCCGCTAAGCAGGGAGCCTGATGTGGGGCTCAATCCCAGGACCCTGGGATCATGACCTGAGCTGAAGGCAAATGCTTAACGACTGAGCCACCCAGGCGTCCCTCTAAATGAGAATCTTGATGATGCTTCAAATATTCACACTCTAAGTTACCAGAGAGACTATATAAATCAGAACAGGTCCATCTTCTTAAAAATGAAAGCAATCCTTAGAGGACATAACTACTCTAGGGCGCCTGGATGGCACAGTTGGTTAGGTGTCCAACTCTTGGTTTTGGCTCAGGTCGTGATCTCTAGGTTGCTATCTCAGGGTCATGAGATTACCCGCCTGAGGCATTCAGCAGAGTCTGCTTAAGAGTCTCTCCTTCTGTTCCTCCTCCGCCCCCACACTCTTTCTCTCAAATAAATAAATAAATAAATCTTTAAGAAAAAAAAACATAACGACTCAAGATGAATCAATGTATCTTTGCTGATGCCTGCCCCCCTCCCCAACCTTCAATTTGTTCTCCACCCAACAGCCGAAGCAATCATTTACAAATATAAATTTCATAATATCTTTCCCAATTGTAAGCATTCAGTAGCTCCCATGACACTTGAAATAAAACACAAATTCCTTAACATTGACTATTAAATTCCGCATATCCTGGCTTTCCTATCTCATCTGGAGTCAGTTTTCCTCATTTGCTATGTGCTAATCCATACTGGCCTTCCTTCAGTTTTTTTTTTTTTTTTAATGATTTTTTTTTTTTTTAAAGATTTTATTTATTTATTTGAGACAGAATGAGAGACAGAGAGCACATGAGAGGGGGGAGGGTCAGAGGGAGAAGCAGGCTCCCTGCCGAGCAGGGAGCCCAATGCGGGACTTGATCCCAGGACTCCAGGATCATGACCTGAGCCGAAGGCAGTCGCTTAACCAACTGAGCCACCCAGGCGCCCCTTTTAAATTTTTTTTTTTTTTCTTCCTTCAGTTTTTGAAGCACTTCTTATGTTAGGACCTTTGCAAGTGTTGTTCTCTCTACCCAGGATACTTTCCCGCCACACTCTTCCAATAACTTTTACTCAGCCTTGTGGTTGTAACTCAAATGTCATTTCCTTAGAGAGGCCTTCCATGACCCACCTTCTCCTGTAAATTGTTTCTTTTCCTTTGACTCTCATTGAATCCAATGCTTTTCTTTCAAACCTTGTATCAAATTATAATTATATATGTATTTATATACTTATTTGTATAACATCTCTCTCCTTCAGTAGATCATAGGCTCAACTAGGGCAGAAATCATGACTCTGTTTACTTACCACTTTGTACTTAGAACATAGCACAGTGCCTACCTGAAAGTACTCTGTCACCATTTATTGAAAGAAAAAAATACACGAGTGATGGATGAATGCAAATGAATGACCAGCACATTATAAGAGTTAGAAATAAAACTATGTCCTAATAGTTCTTTCACAGTAATGGAAATCTAACACTTGTAGAAACTATTTTAAAACTTCTATTAAAATTTAAAGGAACCTATCATTCAAAACTTTCTTTTCCTTCTTCCGTCTCTTTCCTACCCCTCCTAGGCCTATACTTTGATCTGGATTTTGCTCCTCTTCCTTTCTACTTCACTGAGATAAAGATAATCCTCTTCCTTTCTACTTCACTGAGATTGCTTTAATAAAACAGTAAGCTAAAATTTTATAATATTCAGGTAGCTCTCAGTTCCTGAGATTACTTACTTGTTTAAATTTTTTTTTAGTACAGCTAATATATTCACATGGCTCAAAAATCAAAAAGGATTGCAGGGGAGGAAAAAATATCTTTTTCCTACTACCCTCCTAGATTCTGTCGCTGGAGCCATGTAAATTGGACTGACAAAAGGTAGATTAACAATAGAAAAGCATACATATTTAATATAAGTTTTACATGACACGGGAGCCTTCATAAGGAAATGAAGACCACAAAAAATAAACTTGACTTTTGGGGCGCCT